TGGGTGAGTAGGTGGGTGAGTAGGTGGGTGAGTAGGTGGGCGAGTGGGTGAGTAGGTGGGTGAGTAGGTGGGCGAGTGGGTGAGTAGGTAGGTGAGTAGGTGAGTAGGTGGGCAGGTGGGTGAGTAGGTGGGTAAGTAGGTGGGCGAGTGGGTGAGTAGGTGGGTGAGTAGGTGGGCGAGTGGGTGGGTAGGTGGGTGATTGGGTGAGTAGGTGGGTGAGTAGGTTGGTGAGTGGGTCAGTAGGTGGGTGAGTGGGCAGGTAGGTGGGTGATTGGGTGAGTAGGTGGGTGAGTAGGTGGGTGAGTGGGTGAGTAGGTGGGTGAGTGGGTGAGTAGGTGGGTGGGTGGGTGGGTAGGTGGGTGAGTAGGTGGGTGAGTAGGTGGGCGAGTGGGTGGGTGAGTGGGTGAGTAGGTAGGCGAATGGGTGAGTGGGTGAGTAGGTGGGTAAGTAGGTGGGCGAGTGGGTGAGTAGGTGGGTGAGTAGGTGGGCGAGTGGGTGGGTAGGTGGGTGATTGGGTGAGTAGGCGGGAGAGTAGGTTGGTGAGTGGGTCAGTAGGTGGGTGAGTGGGTCAGTAGGTGGGTGAGTGGGCGGGTAGGTGGGTGATTGGGTGAGTAGGTGGGTGAGTAGGTGGGTGAGTGGGTGAGTAGGTGGGTGAGTAGGTGATTAGGTGGGCAGGTGGGTGAGTAGGTGGGTAAGTAGGTGGGCGAGTGAGTGAGTAGGTGGGTGAGTAGGTGGGCGAGTGGGTGGGTAGGTGGGTGATTGGGTGAGTAGGCGGGTGAGTAGGTTGGTGAGTGGGTCAGTAGGTGGGTGAGTGGGTAAGTAGGTGGGTGAGTGGGCGGGTAGGTGGGTGATTGGGTGAGTAGGTGGGTGAGTAGGTGGGTGAGTAGGTGGGTGAGTGGGTGAGTAGGTGGGTGGGTGGGTACGTGGGTGAGTAGGTGGATGAGTAGGTGGGCGAGTGGGTGAGTAGGTGGGTGAGTAGGTGGGCGAGTGGGTGGGTAGGTGGGTGATTGGGTGAGTAGGTGGGAGGGTGGTTGAATTGGTGGGTGCGTGGGCGAGTGGGTGGGTAGGTGGGTGATTGGGTGAGTAGGTGGGTGAGTAGGTGGGTGAGTGGATGAGTACGTGGGTGGGTAGGTGGGTGAGTAGGTGGGTGAGTAGGTGGGTGAGTAGGTGGGCGAGTGGGTGAGTAGGTGGGTGAGTAGGTGGGCGAGTGGGTGAGTAGGTAGGTGTGTAGGTGATTAGGTGGGCAGGTGGGTGAGTAGGTGGGTAAGTAGGTGGGCGAGTGGGTGAGTAGGTGGGTGAGTAGGTGGGCGCGTGGGTGGGTAGGTGGGTGATTGGGTGAGTAGGTGGGTGAGTAGGTTGGTGAGTGGGTCAGTAGGTGGGTGAGTGGGCGGGTAGGTGGGTGATTGGGTGAGTAGGTGGGTGAGTAGGTGGGTGAGTAGGTGGGTGAGTGGGTGAGTAGGTGGGTGGGTGGGTGGGTAGGTGGGTGAGTAGGTGGGTGAGTAGGTGGGCGAGTTGGTGGGTGAGTGGGTGAGTAGGTAGGCGAATGGGTGAGTGGGTGAGTAGGTACGCGAGTGGGTGAGTATGTGGGTGAGTACGTGGGTGAGCGGGTGAGTAGGTAGGTGGGTAGGTGAGTAGGTAGGCGAGTGGGTGAGTAGGTGGGTAAGTGGGTGAGTGGGTAGGTGAGTAGGTGAATAGGTGGGCAAGTAGGCGAGTGGGTGAGTAGGTGGGTGAGTGGGTGAGTAGGTGGGTGAGTAGGTGGGCGAGTGGGTGAGTAGGTAGGTGAGTAGGTGATTAGGTGGGCAGGTGGGTGAGTAGGTGGGTAAGTAGGTGGGCGAGTGGGTGAGTAGGTGGGTGAGTAGGTGGGCGAGTGGGTGGGTAGGTGGGTGATTGGGTGAGTAGGTGGGTGAGTAGGTTGGTGAGTGGGTCAGTAGGTGGGTGAGTGGGTCAGTAGGTGGGTGAGTGGGCGGGTAGGTGGGTGATTGGGTGAGTAGGTGGGTGAGTGGGTGAGTAGGTGGGTGAGTGGGTGATTAGGTGGGCAGGTGGGTGAGTAGGTGGGTAAGTAGGTGGGTGAGTGAGTGAGTAGGTGGGTGAGTAGGTGGGCGAGTGGGTGGGTAGGTGGGTGATTGGGTGAGTAGGCGGGTGAGTAGGTTGGTGAGTGGGTCAGTAGGTGGGTGAGTGGGTCAGTAGGTGGGTGAGTGGGCGGGTAGGTGGGTGATTGGGTGAGTAGGTGGGTGAGTAGGTGGGTGAGTAGGTGGGTGAGTGGGTGAGTAGGTGGGTGGGTGGGTAGGTGGGTGAGTAGGTGGATGAGTAGGTGGGCGAGTGGGTGAGTAGGTGGGTGAGTAGGTGGGCGAGTGGGTGGGTAGGTGGGTGATTGGGTGAGTAGGTGGGAGAGTGGTTGAATAGGTGGGTGAGTGGGCGAGTGGGTGGGTAGGTGGGTGATTGGGTGAGTAGGTGGGTGAGTAGGTGGGTGAGTGGATGAGTACGTGGGTGGGTGGGTAGGTGGGTGAGTAGGTGGGTGAGTAGGTGGGTGAGTAGGTGATTAGGTGGGCAGGTGGGTGAGTAGGTGGGTAAGTAGGTGGGCGTGTGAGTGAGTAGGTGGGTGAGTAGGTGGGCGACTGGGTGGGTAGGTGGGTGATTGGGTGAGTAGGCGGGTGAGTAGGTTGGTGAGTGGGTCAGTAGGTGGGTGAGTGGGTAAGTAGGTGGGTGAGTGGGCGGGTAGGTGGGTGATTGGGTGAGTAGGTGGGTGAGTAGGTGGGTGAGTAGGTGGGTGAGTGGGTGAGTAGGTGGGTGGGTGGGTACGTGGGTGAGTAGGTGGATGAGTAGGTGGGCGAGTGGGTGAGTAGGTGGGTGAGTAGGTGGGCGAGTGGGTGGGTAGGTGGGTGATTGGGTGAGTAGGTGGGAGGGTGGTTGAATAGGTGGGTGAGTGGGCGAGTGGGTGGGTAGGTGGGTGATTGGGTGAGTAGGTGGGTGAGTAGGTGGGTGAGTGGATGAGTACGTGGGTGGGTAGGTGGGTGAGTAGGTGGGTGAGTAGGTGGGTGAGTAGGTGGGCGAGTGGGTGAGTAGGTGGGTGAGTAGGTGGGCGAGTGGGTGAGTAGGTAGGTGTGTAGGTGATTAGGTGGGCAGGTGGGTGAGTAGGTGGGTAAGTAGGTGGGCGAGTGGGTGAGTAGGTGGGTGAGTAGGTGGGCGAGTGGGTGGGTAGGTGGGTGATTGGGTGAGTAGGTGGGTGAGTAGGTGGGTGAGTGGGTGAGTAGGTGGGCGAGTGGGTGGGTAGGTGGGTGATTGGGTGAGTAGGTGGGTGAGTAGGTGGGTGAGTAGGTGGGTGAGTGGGTGAGTAGGTGGGTGGGTGGGTGGGTAGGTGGGTGAGTAGGTGGGTGAGTAGGTGGGCGAGTGGGTGGGTGAGTGGGTGAGTAGGTAGGCGAATGGGTGAGTGGGTGAGTAGGTACGCGAGTGGGTGAGTATGTGGGTGAGTACGTGGGTGAGCGGGTGAGTAGGTAGGTGGGTAGGTGAGTAGGTAGGCGAGTGGGTGAGTAGGTGGGTAAGTGGGTGAGTGGGTAGGTGAGTAGGTGGCGAGTGGGTGAGTAGGTGGGTGAGTGGGTGAGTGGGTGGGTGAGTGGGTGGGCGAGTGGGTGAGTAGGTATGTGAGTGGGTGAGTAGGTGGGCAGGTGGGTGAGTAGGTGGGTAAGTAGGTGGGCGAGTGGGTGAGTAGGTGGGTGAGTAGGTGGGCGAGTGGGTGGGTAGGTGGGTGATTGGGTGAGTAGGTGGGTGAGTAGGTTGGTGAGTGGGTGAGTAGGTGGGTGAGTGGGTCAGTAGGTGGGTGAGTGGGCGGGTAGGTGGGTGATTGGGTGAGTAGGTGGGTGAGTGGGTGAGTAGGTGGGTGAGTAGGTGATTAGGTGGGCAGGTGGGTGAGTAGGTGGGTAAGTAGGTGGGTGAGTGAGTGAGTAGGTGGGTGAGTAGGTGGGCGAGTGGGTGGGTAGGTGGGTGAGTGGGTGAGTAGGTGGGTGAGTAGGTTGGTGAGTGGGTCAGTAGGTGGGTGAGTGGGTCAGTAGGTGGGTGAGTGGGCGGGTAGGTGGGTGATTGGGTGAGTAGGTGGGTGAGTAGGTGGGTGAGTAGGTGGGTGAGTGGGTGAGTAGGTGGGTGGGTGGGTAGGTGGGTGAGTAGGTGGATGAGTAGGTGGGCGAGTGGGTGAGTAGGTGGGTGAGTAGGTGGGCGAGTGGGTGGGTAGGTGGGTGATTGGGTGAGTAGGTGGGAGAGTGGTTGAGTAGGTGGGTGAGTGGGCGAGTGGGTGGGTAGGTGGGTGATTGGGTGAGTAGGTGGGTGGGTAGGTGGGTGAGTGGATGAGTACGTGGGTGGGTGGGTAGGTGGGTGAGTAGGTGGGTGAGTAGGTGGGTGAGTAGGTGGGCGAGTGGGTGAGTAGGTGGGTGAGTAGGTGGGCGAGTGGGTGAGTAGGTAGGTGAGTAGGTGATTAGGTGGGCAGGTGGGTGAGTAGGTGGGTAAGTAGGTGGGCGAGTGGGTGAGTAGGTGGGTGAGTAGGTGGGCGAGTGGGTGGGTAGGTGGGTGATTGGGTGAGTAGGTGGGTGAGTAGGTTGGTGAGTGGGTCAGTAGGTGGGTGAGTGGGCAGGTAGGTGGGTGATTGGGTGAGTAGGTGGGTGAGTGGGTGAGTAGGTGGGTGAGTGGGTGAGTAGGTGGGTGGGTGGGTAGGTGGGTGAGTAGGTGGGTGAGTAGGTGGGCGAGTGGGTGGGTGAGTGGGTGAGTAGGTAGGCGAATGGGTGAGTGGGTGAGTAGGTACGCGAGTGGGTGAGTATGTGGGTGAGTACGTGGGTGAGCGGGTGAGTAGGTAGGTGGGTAGGTGAGTAGGTAGGCGAGTGGGTGAGTAGGTGGGTAAGTGGGTGAGTGGGTAGGTGAGTAGGTGAATAGGTGGGCAAGTAGGCGAGTGGGTGAGTAGGTGGGTGAGTGGGTGAGTACATGAGAGTGATCACGAGTGAGTGAGTGACGTCACTCACGAGTGACGTTGATCGAGGCTGCAGGACCCTGGGAGAGACAATCTCCGGACACGGACACCGGGAAAACCTGGCACGGACAAAAAGACAAATATATCGCCAAAACCGACTTGACGGGTAAGTCATCACGAGGGGGTGGCCAACACCACACCCGGCCCCCTTTGTCTCCCCAAGGCTCATGTTTACACACCCACACCAGGTACTCATTTAAGGCCGAGTCGACCTAGGGGAGGCACAAGACAGGTTCAACTATTCACAGTTGTTGTTGGTTATGCGCAGGAATTGACCTCGGGTCACCGGTTTTGTAGCGTAATTGTCGCTAACCTGTTGCGCCACCACTCCCCACAACAACAGTCGCCATTCGTTCTCCACAACAACAACATGAGCCGCCATTCGCCACTAATTGGCGGTGACGTCAGCACGGCGGTTGTGCCAGGCTGGGTGCACGCTCATCGGAAGAATCCGATGAGCTATGAAGCTCTTTTTCACGCATGTGCAGTCGGGCCACGGGCGCGTGACAACAACAAACACGACGGGAGTGCGAAGTGCAAGAAAAATAAACAAATCGCTCAAACGCAAACAAACACAACAACAAACCATCAACCATCCGACCAATGAGGTTGTTAACTTATTTTTCAGACCCTGCCTGGCTATCACAAATGATCGCTCAACAAAAGTGGCCCCCATCATTTGGACCATTTGCAGCACCGAATTAACCCGAACAATCTCAATGCGCGATTCTAAACGTGGAGGGGGGAAAACCGGAGGGCCCGGAGAAAAAAATCCACGCGAACGCGGGGAGAGAGAGACACAAACTCCAAATATACAGCAGCAGGTGTCAGTGTCGGGATCGAACCCACGACCTCCTGTACACCAGGCGAGGTAGTTAACATCTCATAGCCACCGTGATGATGATGATGATGAGAGACACGCACACTCCAAATATACAGCAGCAGCAGGCGTCAAGGTCGGGATCGAACCCACGACCTTCTGCATACCAGGCGAGGTAGTTAACATCTCATAGCCACCGTGATGATGATGAGAGAGAGAGAGACACCGCAAACTCCAAATATACAGCAGCAGGCGTCAGGGTCGGGATCGCACCCACGACCTCCTGGGCCTGGAGTGAGCGGTCGTATGATGGGATCTTTTTATCAGTATCAAAGTCCGAAAAATAAGCGGGGAGGGTGGAGCGGGAAGGGTAGAGGGATGAGGGTGGAGCAGGGAGGGTGGAGAGGGAGGGTGGAGAGGGATGAGGGTGGAGCAGGGAGGGTGGAGAGGGAGGGTGGAGAGGGATGAGGGTGGAGCAGGGAGAGTGGAGAGGGATGAGGGTGGAGCGGGAGGGTGGAGCGGGAGGGTGGAAAGGGATGAGGGTGGAGCAGGGAGAGTGGAGAGGGATGAGGGTGGAGCGGGAGGGTGGAACGGGAGGGTGGAGAGGGATGAGGGTGGAGCGGGATGGTGGAGCGGGAGGGTGGAGAGGGATGAGGGTGGAGCAGGGAGAGTGGAGAGGGATGAGGGTGGAGCAGGGAGGGTGGAGCGGGAAGGTGGAGAGGGATGAGGGTGGAGCAGGGAGAGTGGAGAGGGATGAGGGTGGAGCGGGATGGTGGAGCGGGAGGGTGGAGAGGGATGAGGGTGGAGCAGGGAGAGTGGAGAGGGATGAGGGTGGAGCGGGAGGGTGGAACGGGAGGGTGGAGAGGGATGAGGGTGGAGCGGGATGGTGGAGCGGGAGGGTGGAGAGGGATGAGGGTGGAGCAGGGAGAGTGGAGAGGGATGAGGGTGGAGCAGGGAGGGTGGAGCGGGAAGGTGGAGAGGGATGAGGGTGGAGCAGGGAGAGTGGAGAGGGATGAGGGTGGAGCGGGATGGTGGAGCGGGAGGGTGGAGAGGGATGAGGGTGGAGCAGGGAGGGTGGAGAGGGAGGGTGGAATGTGAGGGTAGAGGGGGAGGGTGGAGCGGGCAGAGTGGAGTGGGAAGGATTGAGTGGGGGGAGGGTGGAGCAGGGAGAGTGGAGAGGGATGAGGGTGGAGCGGGAGGGTGGAGCGGGAGGTTGGCGCCCGCAGGGTGGAGCACACCTCGATGTAGTATGTGGTGTTGAGCTCCAGGCCGCTGAGCTCCACTCTCAGCCGCTCTGACCCAGAGCCATCCTGCGGAGCCGAGAGGGCAAGGGGTGAATGATGGCGGCAGTGGTAGGGGTGGTGATGGTGCTCTGATGGTGGAGGTGGTGATGGTGAAGATGGTGGAGGTGGTACAGGTGATGGTGAAGGTGGTGATGGTGGAGGTGGTGATGGTGGAGGTGGTGCAGGTGATGGTGGAGGTGGTACAGGTGATGGTGGAGGTGGTGATGGTGGAGGTGGTGATGGTGGAGGTGGTGCAGGTGATGGTGGAGGTGGTGATGGTGGAGGTAGGTGATGGTGGAGGTGGTGATGGTGGAGGTGGTGATAGTGGAGGTGGTGCAGGTGATGGTGGAGGTGGTGATGGTGGAGGTGGTGATAGTGGAGGTGGTGCAGGTGATGGTGGAGGTGGTGATGGTGGAGGTGGTGATGGTGGAGGTGGTGCAGGTGATGGTGGAGGTGGTGATGGTGGAGGTAGGTGATGGTGGAGGTGGTGATGGTGGAGGTGGTGATAGTGGAGGTGGTGCAGGTGATGGTGGAGGTGGTGATGGTGGAGGTGGTGATAGTGGAGGTGGTGCAGGTGATGGTGGAGGTGGTGATGGTGGAGGTGGTGCAGGTGATGGTGGAGGTGGTGGTGACGCTTCTCTCATGCCCACGTGGCGATCCCCACGTGCCGTGGTCATGTGACGCTCACCCCGGGCGCGGTGGCGTTGACGCTGGCCACGTGGTCTCCGTGTGCCCACACCTGGTACCACGTGATGGGCAGCGAGGCTCGGGGGGGGCGCCCCCACGTGACCTCCAGCGCCCCCCCCCATGCTGCGCCCAGGGGCGCCGTGGCCAAGGCCGCGGGGGGGTCGCTCCACCCTTCCCCTGGGGGGTGGGGGGGGGGGTGTTAGAGACAAAGACAAAGGTCCCCCGTGTAGTCTGCATGGGCTGCAGGGACAAATGCATCGCGGGGATCGCGAGAGGTGCCGATGGTTGGTGGGATGCCGTCATCCGGCACTGGATCGACCATGGCTGATGGTGGTGATGACGACGACGACGATGATGATGACGATGATGATGTTGTTGTGTGGATTTACAAGTTTTACTAGCGCCGCAATTTCACTTCGTAGACGCGATACTTGCGGACTGGGAAACTCTCGCGCGTGTGTGTGACGTACATGTGTATGACGTATCGGTGTGTGATGTACATGTGTGTGACAGCTGTGTGTGATGTATATGTGTGTATGACGTATCGGTGTGTGACGTATTTGTGTGACAGCTGTGTGTGATGTATATGTGTGACAGCTGTGTGTGATGTACATGTGTGTGACAGGTGTGTGTGATGTATATGTGTGTGACAGCTGTGTGTGATGTATATGTGTAACAGCTGTGTGTGATGTACATGTGTGTGACAGGTGTGTGATGTACATGTGTGTGACAGCTGTGTGTGAGGTATATGTGTGTGACAGCTGTGTGTGATGTATGTGTGACAGCTGTGTGTGATGTATATGTGTAACAGCTGTGTGTGATGTATATGTGTGACAGCTGTGTGTGATGTATATGTGTGACAGCTGTGTGTGATGTATATGTGTGTGACAGCTGTGTGTGATGTATATGTGTGTGACAGCTGTGTGATGTCTATGTGTGACAGCTGTGTGTGATGTATATGTGTGTGTCAGCTGTGTGTGATGTATATGTATGTAACAGCTGTGTGTGATGTATATGTGTAACAGCTGTGTGTGATGTATATGTGTGTGACAGCTGTGTGTGATGTATATGTGTGTGACAGCTGTGTGTGATGTATATGTGTGACAGCTGTGTGTGATGTATATGTGTGTGACAGCTGTGTGTGATGTATGTGTGTCAGCTGTGTGTGATGTATATGTGTGTCAGCTATGTGTGATGTATGTGTGTGTCAGCTGTGTGTGATGTATATGTGTGACAGCTGTGTGTGATGTATGTGTGACAGCTATGTGTGATGTATGTGTGTGTGACAGCTGTGTGATGTATATGTGTGACAGCTGTGTGTGATGTATATGTGTGTCAGCTATGTGTGATGTATGTGTGTCAGCTGTGTGTGATGTATATGTGTGACAGCTGTGTGTGATGTATATGTGTGACAGCTGTGTGTGATGTATATGTGTGTGACAGCTGTGTGTGATGTATATGTGTGTGACAGCTGTGTGTGATGTATGTGTGACAGCTGTGTGTGATGTATATGTGTGTGACAGGTGTGTGTGATGTATATGTGTGACAGCTGTGTGTGATGTATATGTGTGACAGCTGTGTGTGATGTATATGTGTGTGACAGCTGTGTGCGATGTCTATGTGTGACAGCTGTGTGTGATGTATATGTGTGTGTGTCAGCTGTGTGTGATGTATATGTATGTAACAGCTGTGTGTGATGTATATGTGTAACAGCTGTGTGTGATGTATATGTGTAACAGCTGTGTGTGATGTATATGTGTAACAGCTGTGTGTGATGTATATATGTGTGACAGCTGTGTGTGATGTATATGTGTGTGACAGCTGTGTGTGATGTCTATGTGTGGTAGCTGTGTGTGATGTATGTGTGACAGTTGTGTGTGATGTATATGTGTGTGACAGCTGTGTGTGATGTATATGTGTGACAGCTGTGTGTGATGATATGTGTGACAGCTGTGTGTGATGTATATGTGTGACAGCTGTGTGTGATGTATATGTGTGTGTCAGCTGTGTGTGATGTATGTGTGACAGCTGTGTGTGATGTATATGTGTGACAGCTGTGTGTGATGTATATGTGTGACAGCTGTGTGTGATGTATGTGTGTCAGCTGTGTGTGATGTATATGTGTGTCAGCTATGTGTGATGTATGTGTGTGTCAGCTGTGTGTGATGTATATGTGTGACAGCTGTGTGTGATGTATGTGTGACAGCTATGTGTGATGTATATGTGTGTGACAGCTGTGTGATGTATATGTGTGACAACTGTGTGTGATGTATGTGTGTCAGCTATGTGTGATGTATGTGTGTCAGCTGTGTGTGATGTATATGTGTGACAGCTGTGTGTGATGTATATGTGTGACAGCTGTGTGAGATGTATATGTCTGTGACAGCTATGTGTGATGTATATGTGTGTGTCAGCTGTGTGTGATGTATATGTGTGACAGCTGTGTGTGATATACATGTGTGTAACAGCTGTGTGTGATGTATATGTGTGACAGCGGTGTGTGATGTATATGTGTGTAAAAGCTGTGTGTGATGTATATGTGTGTCAGCTGTGTGTGATGTATGTGTGTGTGACAGCTGTGTGTGATGTGTGTGTGTGACAGCTGTGTGTGATGTATATATGTGTGACAGCTGTGTGATGTATGTGTGTGACAGCTGTGTGTGATGTATATGTGTGTGACAGCTGTGTGTGATGTATATGTGTGACAGCTGTGTGTGATGTATATGTGTGTGACAGCTGTGTGTGATGTATATGTGTGTGACAGCTGTGTGTGATGTCTATGTGTGACAGCTGTGTGTGATGTATATGTATGTGTCAGCTGTGTGTGATGTATATGTATGTAACAGCTGTGTGTGATGTATATGTGAGACAGCTATGCGTGATGTATATGTGTGACAGCTGTGTGTGATGTATATGTGTGACAGCTGTGTGTGATGTATATGTGTGACAGCTGTGTGTGATGTATATGTGTGACAGCTGTGTGTGATGTATATGTGTGTGTCAGCTGTGTGTGATGTATATGTGTGACAGCTGTGTGTGATGTATATGTGTGACAGCTGTGTGTGATGTATATGTGTGACAGCTGTGTGTGATATATATGTGTGACAGCTGTGTGTGATGTATATGTGTGACAGCTGTGTGTGATGTATATGTGTGACAGCTGTGTGTGATGTATATGTGTGTAACAGCTGTGTGTGATGTATATGTGAGACAGCTGTGTGTGATGTATGTGTGACAGCTGTGTGTGATGTATATGTGTGTAACAGCTGTGTGTGATGTATATGTGTGACAGCTGTGTGTGATGTATGTGTGACAGCTGTGTGTGATGTATATGTGTGTGACAGCTGTGTGTGATGTATATGTGTGACAGCTGTGTGTGATGTATATGTGTGACAGCTGTGTGTGATATATATGTGTGACAGCTGTGTGTGATGTATATGTGTGACAGCTATGTGTGATGTATATGTGTGACAGCTGTGTGTGATGTATATGTGTGACAGCTGTGTGTGATGTATATGTGTGACAGCTGTGTGTGATGTATGTGTGACAGCTGTGTGTGATGTATATGTGTGTGACAGCTGTGTGTGATGTATATGTGTGACAGCTGTGTTTGATGTATATGTGTGACAGCTGTGTGTGATGTATGTGTGACAGCTGTGTGTGATGTATATGTGTGACAGCTGTGTGTGATGTATGCGTGTGACAGCTGTGTGTGATGTATATGTGTGACAGCTGTGTGTGATGTATATGTGTGACAGCTGTGTGTGATGTATGCGTGTGACAGCTGTGTGTGATGTATGCGTGTGACAGCTGTGTGTGATGTGTGTGTGTGACAGCTGTGTGTGATGTATATGTGTGACAGCTGTGTGTGATGTATATGTGTGACAGCTGTGTGTGATGTATATGTGTGACAGCTGTGTGTGATGTATATGTGTGACAGCTGTGTGTGATGTATATGTGTGACAGCTGTGTGTGATGTATATGTGTGACAGCTGTGTGTGATGTATGCGTGTGACAGCTGTGTGTGATGTATGCGTGTGACAGCTGTGTGTGATGTATGCGTGTGACAGCTGTGTGTGATGTATATGTGTGACAGCTGTGTGTGATGTATATGTGTGACAGCTGTGTGTGATGTATATGTGTGACAGCTGTGTGTGATGTATGCGTGTGACAGCTGTGTGTGATGTATATGTATGTAACAGCTGTGTGTGATGTATATGTGAGACAGCTATGTGTGATGTATATGTGTGACAGCTGTGTGTGATGTATATGTGTGACAGCTGTGTGTGATGTATATGTGTGACAGCTGTGTGTGATGTATGTGTGTGTGACAGCTGTGTGTGATGTATATGTGTGACAGCTGTGTGTGATGTATATGTGTGTAACAGCTGTGTGTGATGTATATGTGTGACAGCTGTGTGTGATGTATATGTGTGACAGCTGTGTGTGATGTATGTGTGACAGCTGTGTGTGATGTATATGTGTGTAACAGCTGTGTTTGATGTATATGTGAGACAGCTGTGTGTGATTTATGCGTGTGACAGCTGTGTGTGATGTATGCGTGTGACAGCTGTGTGTGGGGAGTGGTAGTGTAGTATTGGTCGGCGCTACGCTGCGCTATGAACCTGGCGACCCGAATTCACTTCCCGCTCACGACCAACACTGGTGACGATTATCTGAACTGGTCCCGGGCTTCCCCAAGGTCGATTCGGCCTCAAACAAGTACCTGGCGCGGTGTGTAAACATCGCCACTGGGGAGACAAAGGCGGCCGGGCGTGGTGCTGGCTACCCACCCCCTCGTGTGCCGTGCCGGTCTTCATAGGTGCTCGCTAACAGCACTTGCCCTGAGGCTACACGGGTGATCTTTGTCTTTTTTTGCTGTGTGTGTGATGTGTACGTGTGTGGTGTGTGGTGTATGTGCGAATGTATGTACAGGGGGGCGCAGTTGTTGAGAGAGTGGAGGCGTTCCCATACCTGAGCAGTGTGCTTATGACCAGCTCCGGTCTGACAGCAGAGGTCTCACTCCGAATCATTAGAGCGGCATTATCTTTTCATAAGCTGCATAATGCTGTGTGGAAACTACCTGGTCTGTCGCTCCACACATAGCTTTGGGTCTTCTCGGCCACAGCCATCATAATGCCCTCCCTCTTCTCTCTACCTGCGAAAGGTGGAGCCTT